TAGAACTCACTGTCTCCTAGTGATTGGCCCAAAGTCACCCAGTCAGCCTTCATGGCTAAGGCGGGACTAGAACTCACTTTCTCCTGGTTTTCGGTCAGCATCTTAACCATAAACCAAACTAGGCTTTGGCAGTTTGTCTTTTACTTTCAACTCATCCCGTTTTGCTTTCATTAGCACGATGCAGAGAAGACATCATCAAGTGCTCAGCAGATCAGACCCCAGCTAGGGAGAAGGGTCTACGGCTTAATGAATCACGCATGGCTGAATCCGAACACGCCATCGGCCCAAATTATGCCGAGCATTATTTTCTTCCTTATTATTTAAACTGTTAGAAGACCCTGGGGTGGACGTGAGCCTGTCAAGCGCTGGATGACGAAAGGTCAGCCTGGCTGGAAACATCCCATAACCGTCATCAAGCCAACTCTCTTTCCCCCCCAAGATGCCACGAAAGGATCAGGGAAAACTGATGTCCCATCAGCTCTTCGGAGAGACAAGCTACGCTGGGCTCTTACTCGTCTATTAAATCCTCACTCTTTACTCCTGGGTTGCTGTGTTGTTTCCCTCTCTCCTCTTCTTCCCCTCCTCTTACTCCTTTACGGCCCGGCCATTTAATAGGAGTGAGGCTCTGCCCAGGAGTTAACTTTTTAAATGGGCTATGCAGGTGCTCCTCGGAGTGATGCGGTGGCCTAGAGGCGGGGCTCTCGCCTGACTATCCGGAAGCTGTGAGTGTCAACTAAAAAGATACTCCTTTGGTCTTTGTAGCCGCCAGAAAAGAAGGCATTCTTGAAAGGCCTAGATATCAACTCAGCAGCCCAAAGCTGTCGGAGCATAAGGAGGGTATTGTGGAGCAGGATGGACGACCCTTGGAAATGGATGTGTCCTATTGGAGAAGTCACATCCAGGGGTTGGGGGAAAGACCAGGGTCAAGGGGGAAATGTATGATGGGATTTACTACCGGCTGCACCCAGCCATGCGCCAACACGGGCATTTTTAATAAAACAATTTACTTTTTCTGAGATGCGGCTTGAGACTTTTGAATGAGGGGGATTTGTGGAAGTCCTGACAGGGAGTTGGATTCTAGGTGAGTGATGGTTAACCTTTTCGTCGTCGCGTGCCGTAAGGACACGTGTGCGTGTGCATGCGTGCCAGCACCCAGAATTCAAGGTACGCGCGACCCCACGCATGCGTGGGGGACCCAACCCCGCTCCCCCTGCACATGCACACGCATCTCCCACGGGAGCCCCACCCCAGGGCGCATGCGCAGCAGATGCCCGAAAATCAGCTAGCTGGCGGGAGGCGCGTGCATAGTGGAACGGAGCTGAGGCGACGGCTTGTGTGCCGCCAGAGATGGCTCTCCGTGCCACTTCCGGCACGCGTATCATAGGTTCGCCATCACAGTTCTAGGTGGAGGCAGATATTTCTCTCTCTGGACATGATGTATCTGTTGAATATGACTCCACATTGGTGACAGGAAGGGCATCTGGCCAATAAACTCTGAGCTCCGTTCAGTGGCCAGATTCCACCCCACAGGGGATTATGCGGACATTAAATGAAGGTGATGATGATGATGATGATGGTGCAAGTGGTCCTTAACTTATGACCACAATTGACCCCCAAATTTCCATTGCCAAGCGAGATATTTATTGGGTTTGGCCCCTTTAATCTGGGCTGTTTGAGGACAATGAAGAGACAAAAGAATAAAAAGAAAGCCACATTTGAGTCTTCTTTGTCCCTATTCCCGTGTGGCGCAGTGGAGAGCTGTGGTGGGGCAGTGGTGAGCCTGCAGTATTGCAGGCTGACTCTGTTCACTGCCAGGAGTTCGATCCTGACCAGCTCAAGGTTGACCCAACCTTCCATCCTTCCGAGGTTGGTAAAATGCAACAGCGCCAGAGGCTGGCTCTGTAAACTGCTTAGAAAAGGCTGGAAAGCACTGGGAAGCAGTATATAGGTCTAAGCGCTATTGCTAAGAGGGAGGAAAAGGAAAGGGAAAGGGAAGAGGGAAGGAAGGAAGAGAAAGGAAAAGGAAAGGGAAAGGAAAAGGAAAGGGGAAAGGAAGGAAAGGAAAGGAAAGGAAAGGAAAGGAAAGGAAAGGAAAGGAAAGGAAAGGAAAGGAAAGGGAAAGGAAGGAAGGGAAGGGAAGGGAAGGGAAAGGAAGGGAAGGGAAAGGAAGGGAAGGGAAGGGAAGGGAAGGGAAAGGAAGGGAAGGGAAGGGAAAGGAAAGGAAAGGAAAGGAAAGGAAAGGAAAGGAAAGGAAAGGAAAGGAAAGGAAAGGAAAGGGAAAGGGAAAGGGAAAGGAAAGGAAAGGGAAAGGAAAGGAAAGGAAAGGGAAAGGGAAAGGGAAAGGGAAAGGGAAAGGGAAAGGAAGGGAAAGGAAAGGAAAGGAAAGGAAAGGGAAAAGGAAAAGGAAAAGGAAAGGGTGGGTCTTACCTGGGTTGATTTTCCTGGACTATGTTCTCCCCTCTCTGGTAGCCACTATCTGCCACCTGGGTGGTCGACCTCTTGACAATTTGCTTCAGTTCTTGCTCCAAACGATCCTGGATGGCCTTGATGGTCTCTGGAATTTTTCTCAGTTTGGCGAGTCCTTTGATCAGGATGCCCATAAAGGCCGAGCTGTTCTCCTCGGGATCCAGGTCTAAATCTTCCTTGATTTCTATCAAGCTGACTTCCCTTCCTGGAAAAAATATATATACATAAAAAAAAGACCGACCCAAATCGTGAAAGAGTTTCTCGAGGCACGCCCAGAAGTTGTGGAGAGGGAGAAGTTCCTTGAGGATGAGCCCCCAACATGACCCCCAAAAGCTTCAAAGAGTAAACCTCTGATCAGATTGGATCCTGCAACGTTCTCTGGCACACCCGTATTCGCTTTCATTCCTGACACCCAGGAGATACGGAGAGGCACAAACCCAAATCCTTCACTAGCCTCTAAGGTTCCCTTCTAACTCTGTTAATCGGACAGCAGTCTTCCAATATTTGAGGGGCTTCCACAGAGAAGAGGGGGGGTCAACCTATTCTCCGGAACCCTTGAATGCAGGGCGAGAAGAAACGGATAGAAACTAATCCAGGAGAGAAGCGACCTAGAACTAAGGAGAAACTTCCTAACGGGAGAACAATTAATCAGTGGAACAGCTTGCTACCAGAAGTAGTGGGTGCTCCAACACTGGAGGTTTCCAAGAAGAGACTGGACAGGCATTTCCCTGGAGTGGGATAAGATCTCCTGCTTGAGCCAAGGGGTTGGACTAGAAGACCTCCAAGGCCCCTTCCAGGACTATTGTTCTATGTTCTATCTGGGCTTCAAGAACTGAGACCCCGAGTAGAATCCAATCTGGAATAGTCAGCCCCTTCCTCTTTCTCTTTCTTTCTCTTTTTCTCTCCACCTTACAACTTACAACAGTTCGTTTAGGGACCATTCCGACTTACAAAAATGACTTACGACCATTTCGGGGCTCAATTGTGGTCGTAAATTGAGGACTACCTGGAATGTATTTTGTGCTGCAGGCTCAGATGCTGGTCTTCCTATTCTTCCTATTTCTTCTTCTTACTACAGCATGGCAGATGATTACCATGTTACCCCGAAAATAAGACCCAAGCGGGAAATAAGCCCTCGTGATGATTTTTCAAGATGCTCATAATATAAGCCCTACCCTCAAAATTAAGTGTTCTGACCAAGGCTTCCGAGAATGTAATTAAGCACATGCTTAGTTAAAACAACTCTCATGTTATTTCAACGCTGGGAATTATGTTCGTTCCTAGTCCGTAATGAGTCCCAAACAGTCTCTCGAGATAAGGTGCATATCTTTCATCTCCTTTGAATGGCTGCCAACAACTGAAGTGCCAAATGAACTGTAAAAAGTACAAAGTCCACACAGAGCTTCAAGGTTTAATCTGAACAGAGCGAATAAAATCGCTTCTTCCAAAGTTTTCTTCACCTTTGCCTGTCCTTTATCCCTTATGGGAGGGGCAATCACCTCCAAGCCTTACTCCCGAGTCACCCCTTTCGTCTCAGCTGGTCTTGCCTTCTGGCAGCTCTGTGCATACGCGCACTGGGAACAGGCTCCCTTTGTTCCTCTGCCTCGCTGCTGCCAGGTTCCTGAGTCAGCACCCCACTCCCAGATGGTCCTGGCCCCATCTCCGCATCGAACGCAGGACTCTCATCCGAGTCCTCTCCAGACTCCTGAACTGGTCCCCGTTCTTCCTCACTGTCCGATTCTGCTGCCGTCTGCACAGGCTGCCGGCGAACCACAACAATGAGCCTCAGTTAAGATCATCAGCCAGACGGACACGTTTAGTACCGTATTTTCCTAAAAATAAGACCTAACTGGAAGATAAGCCCTAATGCATCTTTTGGAGCAAACACCGATATAAGACTCAGTCATATTTTGGGGGAAACACAGTAGGTTGTACTGGTTGTTGGAGCCTGTTCTTCTTCTATGTATTCCACAGAGGTTGCAATTTCTAGCGTATCTTCCCTCAGTGATGAAGCCATGTCAGATGATATATGGCCCATAACAAGAAACAGAGTGGTAACAAAATAACCCTCGATAATTTCCAATATTCTCATTTTGCTAATTTCTTTTAATCACTGTGATTTTTTTTAAGGTGGGGGGGAGGCTTTGGGGAGGATCATTTCAGTTTGTAACTCAAGCCAATTCTGAGGAAAACACATCCAGGTTTGGTCCCTTCCAGATTAAGTGAATGCCGGAGCAAACGTCAAGAACTTGTCCAAAAACTGTTTCTTATAAGCCACTCGGAGCGATAAAAATAATTGGAATGAAGTAAATCTCGTGGAAGGGTCAGTGGCGGCCACAGTTCTTGAGGGGAGGATATTTGCAGGAACGTTTTCATCAACGGGGAGTCGATGTGCTACCTCTTAACAGCACACCTGCCAGTCAAAAGTTGCAAACCTCGGCTATTTTCCACTTAGGGTTGCATCAAAAGCCTCACCTGTTCAATAATGGTGCCTGTCAAAGCCAGGACAGAGGAAGTGGGAAAGCTACTACGAGATGGGAAATAATCATTGCGACAGCCCTTATAATCCGAACGCTGTCACCTCATCTGTCTGTTTTGTTCCGGCTCGTCTCAAATTCCCCTGCCAAATGCTTCACCCCCCCACCCATTAAAAACCTTGGAGAAACAAGGGCGCCGAAGAACCCAGACGAATCCTACAGATTAAACCAGAACCTTTCTGATTCAAGACGTGACAAATTCCGTTCTGATAAACCCATGTCCAGTGGGGAAGGCACCAGGCTAGAAACCAGGAAATGGTGAGTGTTAGTCCTGCCTTAGGCTTGAAAGCTGGTTGGGTGTCTTTGGGATAATGACAGAGAGGACCGTGAGTTCTAGTTTCTGCCTTAGGCGACAAAGCCGGCTGGGTAACTTTGAACCGATCACCGGGAGATGGGGAGTTCTAGTTCCACTTTAGGCATGAAAACCAGCTGGATGACTTCGGGCTAGTTACTTTCTCTCAGCCCAACCCAGGGGTGAGCTTCAAAATTTTTAGCAACTGGTTCTCTGCCCGGTTGCTGGGTGGGTGTGGCCTAATCGGCCTCCTGCACTCGGGGGGGGGCAGTTTTCATCCTCCCCTGGCTCCGGAGGCTTTCCTTGAGCCTTCAGGAGGGAGAAAATGGCTTCCCCAGGCTCTGGAGGCCAGAAACAGGCCCATTTCTGGCCTTCCGGAGCCTCCAAGAGGCCTGTTTTTCGCCCTCTCCGAGACTCCGATAGCAGCCCGTCCCTGGCCCAACCCCACCTCACAGGGTTGTTGTTGTTGTAGGGGGGAAATAGGAGGAGGAAGGAATATTAGATATGTTTGCTGCCTTGAGTTTTAAAATAAACTTAAGATAAATCTGAACAAAATTTAACATTTAGGTTTTATAAGGTAATAATATTAAATTTTAATGGTTAATATTTCAATATAAATTCTAATTTCATGTGAAAGTTTATAGCATTAAAATTGAGTATTGAATAAAATAATAAAATAAGAGTTATTCGAATAAATGTCTAGCTGTGTTACAAAGTAGCTCTGCAATCGACGGATTTCCAAATGTACAATTAATTCTATGTACAATTTCAACTGTACAGATCTTACAAAAGGCCACATTCTACTCAGAAGCTGTTCAGCCTAATGAGGAAGATGAACACGTCAGGAAAACCAGATTTCTGCTCATTTCAGTCCTTTCTGTGTATCACATGGAATTATGTGTATTATTTAGTTTTATTCTTTATATTGGATTATTCTTTGAAAAGGAGGGTGATGCGTCTTGTGGTTCTCACTGTGGTTTTTAAATTTTTGTTGTGTATTTGCATTCTTTTTAAGTCTTGTTAAGATTTGATGGCTTACAGATCCAAACTCCATAAAGAAACAAACAAATCTGTGATCAATAAAGGGCTGAAATTCTGATAGATACGACATTGGTTCTTGTTGCAAATCCGGACTAAAGAGAACCCTGTAAGAATGATTAGCCATGCAAAACTAATCCGTGTGTGTCTGCACACCGTCTCTTTCCTTCTCACACATAAACACACACAGTTTTCCTCACATTTATTTCAGCTGAAGTCATATCTGAATTCAAAGCTTTCTCTTGCAGAAGTAATCTCCAAATAGGTCAAGCAGACAGATCAAACAGATAATCAGAGTTGGAAGGGATCTTGTAGGTCATCTAGTCTAACCCCCCACCCCACCCAAGCAGGAGACCCTACACCATTTCTGACAAATGGCAGTCCAGTCTCTTCTTGAAAGTCTCAAGTGATGGCGCTCCCACAACTTCCGAGGGCAACTTCTGTTCCATGGGTCGATTGTTCTCACTGTCAGAAAGTTTCTCCTTATTTCCAGGTTAAATCTCTCCTTGTTCAGTTTCTAGCCATTATTCCTTGTCTGACCCTACAGGCGCTTTAAAAAATAGATTTGAAAGGCACCTACATGCACATGGAAATATATATAATTTCATCACTCACCGCTGGAATTTCCTGTAGTGCTAAATTGAGAGGAGTCAAACTTGCGAGGAGTGGATAAGTTAGTAACGTCGAGGTGAGGCAAAGCAGAAGCATCCTTCACATGAGAACTGCAATGAAAAGAAATTAAACTTAACCGCTGCGAGCTAGGAGAGAACTCCGGCAGGCATTCATAAATGGCAGAAATGTAAATGAGAAGATTGAAGTTTCTATAACAGATCTCGACATCCCTGAGGGAATTATGTGAGGACGAAGTACCGGCAAAGCTTCGATTTTATTTTTAACATTTTAAACTGTTTAGCTTTGTAGCTTTAATATGATTTTATACACTGTTTTAACTTTGGTTCGGGAAGACACCCGTCCCTTCCAACTTTCCTGAAGAATTGAATATTTGCAGCTCACGATACCACAACATTGTGACTGTACGGTTTGATAACCTTGAAACGTTCTCAAAAAATGAAAATCTGGAAGGCTTTTGTATCCAAAAACTGCAAACAGAACATGGCCAGCCATCAAACGATCATCATCAAAACAACGCAAAATGCCATCCTACATGGGCACTTGAAAGGGAAAGGGAAAATAATGATGGTTTATTTGTCCCCTAGAATGATGAATGCTTTTTTCAAGGTTGAATTGGTTTATACAAGGTGTCCCCAAACTGTGGGCTGTGGCTTATTCGCAACCGGGCCAGGTGAGCACACGCACACGCCACTCACACAAATAAAACTGTGCATGCAGCTGCCCCTCGCACAAAAATATCCCTCCCCACACCGCGCGCCGGGCTGCCATAAGAGTGAAAAATGGTACGTCCCATTTATACGGTTGGTTTATTTGCCAGATTGAATCCGACCAGGCTCAAGGTTGACTCAGCCTTCCATCCTTTCAAGATGGGTAAAATGAGGATCCAGACTGTTGGGGGCAAGAGGCTGACTCTGTAAACCGCTTAGAAAGGGCTGTAAAGCACTATAAAGCGGTATATAAGTCTAAGTGCTATTGCTATTTATACAACTCTGTCCAAATTTCCGTTTTTTTCCCAGATTAACAGAGTTGGAAGGGATCTTGTAGGTCATCTAGTCCAACCCCTTGCCCAAGCAGGAGACCCTACACCATTTTGCTTGACCCCTTCCTCTCTGTGGCAGCCCCTCAAATATTGGAAGACTGCTATTATGTCTCCCCTGGTTCTTTTGTTCATTAAAGTCAGATTAAAGTCAGATTAACAGAGTTGGAAGGCACCCTGTAGGTCATCTAGCCCAACCCTCCGCCCAAGCAGGAGACCCTACACCATTTCTGAAAGATGGAAGTCCAGCCTCTTCTTGAAAGCTTCCAGGGATGAAGCTCCCACAACTTCCAAAGAGAACTTCTGTTCCATTGGTTGATTGTCCTCACTAACAGAAAATTTCTCCTTTTTTCCAGGTTGAATCTTCCCTTGATCAGTTTCCATTCATTATTCTTTGTCTGGCCCACAGGTGCTTTAAAAAATAGCTTGTCCCCTTCCTCCTCTCTGTGGCAGCCCCTCAAATATTGGAAGACCTCTATCCTGTCTCCCCTGGTCCTTTTCTTCACTAGACTAGCCAGGCCCAGTTCCTGCAACCGTTCATTGTATGTTTGAGCCTCCAGTCCCCTAATCCTCCTGGTTGCTCTTCTCTGCACTCTTTCTAGAGTCTCAACCTCTTTTTTATAGTGCGGTGACCAAAACTGGATGCAGGACTCTAGGTGTGGCCTTACTAAGGCTTTATAGAGTGGTATTAGTGTCTCCCTTGATCTTCAATGTATCCCTCTGTTAATGCAGCTAAGGATTGTACTGGCTTTTTTGTCTGCCACTGGACGCATTTGCTAGATACGAGCACCCCGTTTTCCTGCATTAATAGAGTCACAATTACAAGATGAGTGGCTAAATGAATGAATAAATAAATGAGACCGACCTTATCCTCCCCTTTTCTTTGTTCCGCTGTCCAACCTTACTGGTAGACTTGATGTAAAGGTGACGGTGGAGTTCATCTATGAGAACTAAATGCATGTTCATCTTCTTACTGTGAAGTTCCAGCCTCAGGTCACTTAATCCTTCTACCTGAAGGAGGGGTCCTTCCAGGGATTCTACGGCCGACACCTTTGAACAAAAGATAAAAGTTGATTTAGCTATTTGCCAAAGTCATTACAGGTAAAATGCAGGTAGCCCTCAAGTTACGACCACAGCTGAGCCCCGAGATTTCTGTTGCTAAGTCAGATGTTGGTTAAGTGAGGTCTACCTCATTTCACGACCTTTCTTGCCACGGTTACTGAGCGAATCACAGCGGTTGTTTAAGTTAGTAAGATAGTCGTTTAGTGGATCTGGCTTCCCCCATGACTTGGCTTGTCAGAAAATCACAAAATTGAAGTTGTAAACGCTCCAACACTGGAAGTTTTTAAGAAGAGATTGGATAACCATTTGTCCGAAGTGGTGTAGGGTCGCCTGCCTAAGCAGGGGGTTGGACTAGATACAGGGGTCGCCAACCTTTTGGACCTCAGGGACCACCAAACTCATCATTTTAGATCCCAGGGGCCACCAACTGGTTCTGTGGGCGTGGCCTAATTTGTGGGTATTGCTTGGTGGTCATGTGACTGGCTGGGCATGGCTTGTATGTAAATATTATAAATATTTATATAAATATTGAATTTTTTATTAAAAAAGAGCAACTTTTATCCAAAATCAGGCAAAGCAGGCAGGCAGGCAGATTGAGTTGCTCACAGAATCACAGATTCATTCAGAGATCTATCTATCTGCCATTGGCTAGCTCAGTCTGTCACATAAAATTTGCTTGCAAGCAAGCTCATAAAATTTGCTAGCAAGCAAACTCACAAAATTAACTCACAACACACCATGTATGTAAATATTGAATTTTTTTTATCAAAAAACAGTAACTGTTACCCAAAATCAGGCAAAGCAGGCAGGCGGATTGAGTTGCTCACAGAATCATTCAGAGATCTATCTATCTGCCATCGGCTCGCTCAGTCTGTCACCTAAAATTTGCTTGCCTTGAGTCTGCACTGAATAATAGAACCTTCAGCTTTAGTCCTAAGAGAGGTTCGGCTGTGCTTAAAAGCAGAGCTGAAGATCTAAAGACTAGCTAGAAAGCAAGAAATCCAACCATTTCCTGCTTCCTACCTAATCTAAATCTCCCGGCACAGCAAAACAGCTGATGGTCGGAAGAAAAAAAAAAAGGAAAAAGAGCAACTTAGCGGGCAGGTAAGGAGTGAGTGGGTGGGGAAGGTTCCCGTGGGCCATGTGGGCTGTGTAGCCTTGTGTTTCTGTGCAACCTGGATTAATTGCTTTGGGGGTGACATTTCTCTGCGGCCCACCAAAATTTTCTCGCGTCCCACTGGTTGGCGACCACTGGACTAGAAGACCTCCAATTGCAACCGTCATAAATATGAGTCAGTTTGCCAAGAATTTGGATCTGGATTACATGACCATGGGGAAAAGTGTGACAAATGTCATCAATCACTTTTTTCAGTGCCGTTGTAAATTTCAACGGTAACTAAACGATCCGTTATAAGTCGGGGACTTCATATAAGATTTACCTAGATCAAATTCAAATGACAACCTCACCAAACGGCCTGACATATTTCTTTCTAATAAAAGAAGACAATCCTCCTTTCTTTGTCTTAGAAAAGCAGGAAGATGAAAGGGGTGACCACAGAAATGAGGAAAGGATGGGGTGAAGAAAGATTCTGCATTCAGCAAAACGAAGTCGAGGCTAAGGGATTCAGCCAAAGCCTTCACAAGAAGAAACTGATTTCGAAGAATACCCCTTTGGTATTATTCTAAATATTTCTGCAATCGCAGTCGATTCAATTTTAGCAGTCCTTAGGAACGTTACTGCTCTGGCCAGAGGGTAATTGAACTACCAACCGAAGGCCTCAAAACTCAACAGGGATTTCCTTGCCAGCTGTATCCCTGGGATTGCTAAATATTTTAATTATTTGGCTGCCGCTGAGTCATGTCCAACTCCGGTGCATTTAAAAGATCTGGCACCAACTGGTGGCTACTGCAATATTTCCAATTTGAAGCTCACCCGGTGTTTAAAGGTGACCTTCTAGGGGTCTTAAATAAAATTGAGATCATGATAAATATTTCAGCAATTCTGTTTAATTGTGTCAGTTCGCCATGCCTGGGTAGCGGCCTAAATAAATCGAAAAGAGAGGGGGGGGGGGGGACTGGCCACAAAAAAGGAGAGTGTCGCATTTTTGCGTATTATTTAAATAAGCCAGTAAATCTCATTTTGCAGGAATCCAGCGTGGCTACCTTAAGGAACGAGGAGGTAAACAGACAGCCTCAAGAGTTCGCAGCAAATTAAACAATATTTCATTTAATAATGAGAAATATACTTCATGATGCCTTATGGTTTGAAGCTCCCCATCCATCATGTCTCAATGGCTCACAGAGAGCTGTTTATTTTCTTTAACTAAAAACTGGGAAGTGATCTTTACATTGCAATCTACTCCGTAGCTGTGCCCTTCTTATTTGTGGCTTTTTGTGGCCAATATACAGGTAGGCCTCAAGGTACGACCACAATCGAGCCCAAGATTTCTGTCGCTAAGTCAGACATTTGTTAAGTGGGGTTTTGCCTGAGTTTACGACCTTTCTTGACTCTGTTGTAAAGTGAATCGCTGTTAAGTGAAGTTAGCCACACGGTTGTTCAGTGAATCCGGCTTTCCCCAGTGATTTGGCGTGTCAGAAGGTCGCAAAAGGGGATCGCGTGACCTCGGGATGCTGCAACTGTCGTAAGTATGAGTCAGTTGCCAAGCATCTGAATTTTGATCACGGGAACGCCGTAATGGTCGTAAGTGTGACAAACGGGCAGAGGTCACTGTTTTCAGTGCTGTTGTAACTTTGAATGTTCACTAAATGAACTGTTGTAAGTCGAGGACCACCTGGAGTCGATACTATTTAATTGCAAGAATTAGCATAACAACAGAATGGAATGGAATGGAATGGAATAGAATAGAATAGAATAGAATAGAATAGAATAGAATAGAATAGAATAGAATAGAATAGAATAGAATAGAAATGAAACTAGAATAGAACAGAATGAGAATGAGAATGAGAATGGAACGGAACAGAATAAGAATAGAATAAGAATAAGAACAAGAAGAACAAGAAGAGCAAGAAGAACAAGGACATGAACAAGAATAAGAATAGAAATGAAACTAGAATAGAATGAGAATAAGAATAGAAAAAAATAGATAATAGGGATAGAATGAGAATAAAATAGAATAAGTATAGAAATAAAACTAGAATAGAACAGAATGAGGATAGGATAGAATAGAATAAAATACGAATAGGAATAAAACTAGAATGAGAATGAGAATGAGAATGAGAAGAGGAGAGGAGAGGAGAGGAGAGGAGAGGAGAGGAGAGGAGAGGAGAGGAGAGGAGAAGAGAAGAGAAGAGAAGAGAAGAGAAGAGAAGAGAAGAGAAGA